GCCTTGTACGGATAACTCCGATTGCAAGCATTTTTTAAGTTTTCGACATGTTCTAGAAGTTCCCGTAAAATCATAAAGGCCAACCTTTTGGTACAACAGTTATCCCCTGAACTTAGGTATTTCAGAGGTTTTGGTCATATTTTCCAACTGTGTTCAAAGTAGGGATTGATAAATGCATACTCAAAAGAAGTTCCAATAAAATAATAAAGGCTAACCTTTTGATACAACAGTTATCCTCTGAATTGAATGAATAGGTATTGCAGAGGTCTTGGTCATATTTTCCAATTGTGTTCAAAGTAGGGTTTGATAAATTCATATTCAAAGGGTGCGCAAACTTATAAAAGGTACCTACAATAATATGTCCAACTTTTTGTCCCCACATTTTCATTCGACATAAATCATCTATCCATTATTATAAATTTCCTTTAAATTCTCTCCAAGGACTCTCAATTTCATTCCGCAAATAAATCAATTTCAAAACATAAATCTCAACAATTTATGGTCAGCCATGATGTCTATTATTTTTTCGATAGCCATCTTTAGTTTTCCTGCCCATAATTACCGTCAAAGTTATAAATCACTTTAAGACCATTGACCCTTTAGTCCAACTCGAAATGTATCCTTTGAATGTATTCGTATTTCTAACTAGATTAGTCTCCACAAAGTCCTTGCTCTGAACCTAACCCCACCCAACCCAATTGTCATTAAATGCTCGTATCTCATAATTATGCAAATTGAAAGCAATTTACTGTTTGCGATTTGTAGAGTTTATCGTTTTGAATGGCTAGTTTGATCGCCCGAATACGAAATGGCAACAATGATGTCAGCTCATTTGAGCAGCGAACACTTTTGGCCTTTGGCACTACTAACCCTGGCCAATGAAATGTCAATGCAAATGTAAATGAAACTCGAATGTATTAACGTTTAAATTTTTGTTTCGGGTTATAAAATTTGATTGCTTGCTGCTTGTTGCTGCACAAAAGCGAATGGGGAGGGTAACCTTGCCTGCGGCCAAAAAATTGCAATTTGACAGAGATGTATTGTATTGCATCGTGTTTTGGGCTATATTTCAGAGTAAAAACAATACAAGGAGCAATAGGACGAAAATTATTCAGATAAAATATTGTTGATGATTTGCTGGTTGTTTTTGGGGTTTTTTTGTTATAAAAAATCTAAATTTTGTTTTAACAAGTTAAAAAGTATCAGTCGAATTTATGACTCAGCCAATGTTCGATTGTTTAAATAAATTTTGATTTCTGTTATGATTATTCAAACGTTTGACCCTCTAAGGAGTAGGTTCCGAAGGAATGGGCCAATGTTGTCAATTTCGTATCGGACCTAAATAAATATGATATAAATATTGAGACGTGCCAGGTTCGGACCATATCGAATACTTCCTTAACGTTATATGAGGAATGAAAAAAATGTGATATTATCAACCGAAGTATTCCATTTTCACACTTCATCTAATACAGATAAGAAATATTGGTATGGGCAAAATTAAAAAAAAAAAAAACGAACATTTGTAACCAATTTTATTCGAAATCATAAATTCTACATTCATCCCAGGATTCTGGTTGAGGGAAATATTTAGAAAAAGCAGATTATATAGAATCGCCGACTTGCTTCGCAAGTTCTGACAGATATAAGTATTGGAGATCTTTATAACGGATCTTTGGTTGATGGAAATATTGAGATGTATCAAGTCTGAATGGAATCGGATGTTAATTTCGCGTTTTATGAGCTTCATGGACACTACAAATTTTCAACCTTTGTGGGGGAGGTACCAGTAGGAATTGTCCGATCTCTACCATATTTATAACAGAACTTGGGTTAACGAAAATATTGAGGTGTACCAAGTCTGAATGGAATCGGATATTATTTTCGCGTTTTATGATATCCAAAGTGTTGACCCCTTGTGGGGGATGGGATATCAGAAGGAGTGGATCGATATATCTCATCGTCACAGCAGATCTTGTGTTATTAGAAAAAATTGGGATGTGTGAGGTATGAAGAGAACCGGATGCTTATTTTGGATTTTATAATCGTTTTTGTTATTTAAAACGTTTACCCTTTGCGGGGGAGGTACCAAAGGCAATGATCCGATCTCTATTATCTTTATAACATACCTTGTGCTAATAGAAATATTGAGATGTGCCATGTTTTTTTGTTTAGCATTTTATAAGCTTCATGGATACTCAAAATTTTGAACCTTTGTAGAGGAGGTACCAGAAGGGGGGGGACCGATATATTCCATCTTCACTGCAGATCTTGTGTTAGTAGAAATAATGGGATCTATGAAATATTAAGAGAACGGATTTTATAATCGGTTTGGTTATTCAAAACTTTTACCGTTTTTTGGGGGAGGTACCAGAAGGATGTCAATATCTGCTCAGAAGGAGCAGACCGATATTGCCCATCTCCGAACCCGATCTAAGTTTGATAATAAATAGTACGATGCACCAAGTTTGGACCAAATCGGATAGGATCGACTCCAAATGTCCCTGAAACGGATTGGGTCCAAAGAGACCTAGGGTCTAAAACTGTTATTTCGATGAGGCACTTTTGGCCGTAGCAAATGATATACAGTGAGATGAAAAAAACTGCAACCAACTTCAGACTGCTGTCATTTCCAAGCCACTCGTCCGACAGCTGTTAAAATTAATCCAGTGACAGCTCCTTACTTTGTTTACAAGCGTACCAAACCATCGCTTGTTACCGTGAACCCGCGTTGCAGTGGACGAAAAATGGTGTGCTGAATATATCGCAATATTCCCTTCGGCAAATATTGAAAAACGAGCTCGGGGTACAGCCATTAAAATTCCAAAAAGTAAAAGAACTTACACTGCAGCAGAAAGAATATAGACTTAAAAGAGTTGCTTCGCTTGGCCGAAAGTAATCGTGATTACTTGCCAAAGAGGTCAGCTGAAATTGTGCACCTTCGGTTGGCAACCAGAACTCAAGTGCAGCCCATGGGGATGGTTTAGGCCGCCATAACAGCCGATGGTCACTCTCCGCTCGTATTAATCGAGTGGCATCACAACAAATCGCGAAAATATTCTGGAGGGTATATTAAAGCCTTTTGGGCACACAAACATTTTGGACGCATACCTTGGACATTCCAACGGGACTCAGCACCATCGCTCTCGGCAGGCGCCACCCAAGAATGTTTACAAACTGAGGTTCCTTGCTTCATTTCCAGCGCACAATGGCCACCCAAATCTCCGGATACCAATCCGTTGGACTATTGTGTCTGGAGTATTTTGGAAAGCAAGGTTGGCAAGCGCTTCGCCGGGAATGGTCCAAAATACCGCAGAGCAACATTCGGGCAGCGTGTGACGGTTTCATTGGCCGTTTGAAGGCCATAATTCGTTCCAAAGGTGACCAATTCGAACAAATCTAAGTTTTTTTATCTCACCCTGTATTCAAATTTTTGACCCTTTGTGGGGGATGTACTTCATTGGTAGACCGATATTGTCCATTTTCGCACCTGACCTAGCACTGATGGAAATAGTAAGATTCACAAAGTTGGAGCAAAATCGGATGATCCTTTCTCTTTCAGTGCAGTAAATTATTTTCATTGAAAATTTCTATTTTTGTGGGGGAGGTACCAGAAGTAGTATACCGATATTACCCATCTCCGAACTCGATCTAAATTTGATAGTAATATTACGACGTACCAATTTTGAACCTGTCTGTGCGTACCAGACAGACAGACAAACGGACGAACATCGCTCCAAATGTCCTGAAACGGATTTGTTCCAAAGGTTCCGTTATTTCGATGAGATACGTTTTGACCGTATCAAATGATATAAGTCCCCCTCTAGCCATATGGCTGAGGATATAAAAAAAATTTTAATCAAAGATTGTAACTTTTTATCACTTCCATAATGTCTGCACTATATTTTGTGCCGATAAGTCTTTTAAATTTAATTCAATTTTTAGTCCACAAAGTAAAAATAATGGGCGAAATTTGACTCACATACAGCTCCCACAGGTATGTGTCATCCCAAAGATATAAAATCGGTTAAGATTAATGTAGCTGTCATACATAATTTTGGCACTTATACCTAATTAAATATCCCTTGAGTACCAGTAGTTTAAGACGTCAAACAATCAAAGCCTACCCGCCCAATTCAAAAGATCCTTCAATTCTGTTTTATTTTAATGAGTTTTAAAACTCATTTATGAAAATAATTTAAATTACAAAGTTCATGCCTTGGCAATGGCTTCATATCGAATTGCAGTATAAACAATTATGCTTCATACTTATTGAAAAATTTATATTCCATACATATTACATACATACCTAGCCATATGTGCGGTAAAATATATAATTAATGACATGAACTGAAAAATAATAATATACAATACGAAAGTTTATTTAGTCGATATTTAATTTATATATTTTTTATTATTAAATTAATCAATATGGCGGGCCTTTGTCCTATTGCAACCAACAACGACAATAATAATTGGATTATTTGTGGATTTTATTTTGTTGGTATTGCAGAGTTCTTATAATGAAATAATTATGTTTACATATACATTTATTTCAATATGATTTTGAGTTGTATATTATTATTTAATTTTAATATCCTTACTTCTCATGTAGAACTGTTTGTAGCATTTGTTTATGTACATTTTTTGTTATAATTAGTTTTGTACATTTCCCTCATTATTTTCTTTCTTCTTTGTTTATTTTCATTTTTATTATGCATCCATCTTTGCCTGCTGAACTGTATATGTTTTGAAATTTCATTTACAAATAAAAAAATTAAATAAAATTGGCTGCCCTCAATTTTGTATTGTCCTACGTGTCCTGCATGTTGTACTTGTTGCTCGTCGACATCACCATTATCTTCATTATCATCCAATGCAACTGTTATACTGTACTACTACTACGACTGTTGCAACAACTGTTATATTTGGCTGATCGTAATGCTGTTGCTGTCCGTATTTATCTGTTGAAATGCTTCTTCATTTTTATTTCTATGTAGAATTTTGGAAAGCAAAATAAGGTTTGTTTTGATTTTACATTTTTATTATTTCTATTTTTTATGTTTTTTTTTTATATTTTACATTCATATTATTTTTATTTTATTTAATTTAATATAAAAAAATAGATCTCAAAAACTTGTTTATAAAAAAGAATATGTATATGTCTCTCATAGGCCATAGAACACCTCTAGGTCTCTTATAAACAATATGAGACCTTTAGGTCTCCTATAGACAATAGGAGACCTCTAGGTTTCCTATAGACAACGAGAGACCTCTTGGTCTCCTATAGACAATAGGAGACCTCTGTAGACCTGTAGGTCTCTTATAGACAATAGAAGGCCTCTAGGCCTCCTATGGATAATAGGAGACCTGTAGGTCTCCAATAGAAAACAGGAGACCTCTAGATCTCCTATAGACAATAGGAGATCTTTAGGGCTCCTATAGACAATAGCAGTCCTGTAGGTTTCCTATAGACAAGAAGAGACCTCTTGGTCTCCTATAGACAACAGGAGATCTCTAGGAATCCTATAGACAACAGGAGATCTCTAGGAATCCTATAGACAACAGGAGATCTCTAGGACTCCTATAGACAATAGGTGACCTCTAGGTCTCCTATAGATAATATGAGACCTCTAGGTCTCCAATTGATAATAGGAGACCTCAGGTCTCCTATAGATAATAGGAGATCTCTAGGTCTCCTATAGACAATAGGAGACCCCGAGGTCTCCTACGGAATATAGGAGACCTCTAGGTCTCCTATAGACAATAGCAGACCTCTATGTCTTCTATAGACAATAGGAGACCTCTAGCTCTTCTATAGAAAATAGCAGGCCTCTAGGTCTTCTGTAGACAATAGGAGACTTCTAGGTCTCCTATAAATAATAGGAGACCTCAAGGTCTCCTATAGATAGTAGGAGACCTCTAGGTCTCCTATAGACAATAGGAGATCTTTAGGGCTCTTATAGACAATAGCAGACCTGTAGGTTTCCTATAGACAAGAAGAGACCTCTTGGTCTCCTATAGACAAGAAGAGACCTATTGGTCTCCTATAGACAACAGGAGATCTCTAGGACTCCTATAGATAATATGAGACCTCTAGGTCTCCAATAGATAATAGGAGACCTCAGGTCTCCTATTGATAATAGGAGATCTCTAGGTCTGCTATAGACAATAGGAGACCCCGAGGTCTCCTACGGAGAATAGGAGATCTCTAGGTCTCCTATAGACAAGAGCAGACCTCTAGGTCTTCTATAGACAATAGGAGACCTCTAGGTCCTCTATAGAAAATAGCAGACCTCTAGGTCTTCTATAGCTAATAGCAGACCTCTAGGTCTTCCATAGACAATAGGAGACCTATAGTACTTCTATAGACAATAGAAGACCTCTAAGTCTCCTATAGCCAATAGAAGACGTCTAAGTCTCCTATAGCCAATAGAAGACCTCAAGACCAAGAAGACCTCAAGACCAAGAAGACCTCAAGGTCTTCTATGGACAGTAGAAGACCTGTCGGACCTTAATGGACTATAGAAGTCCTCCTGGTCCACTGTGGACAATATAAAACCTCCTGGTTCTCTATGGAAAATTGAAGACCTCCAGGTCTTCAATGGACAAATACCTGCAGGACCTCCATATACAGTAGAAGACCTTCAGGATCTCTATGGCCCATAGAGGACCTACGGCTCCTCTATTGTCAGTAGAAGACAACCAGTTCCTCTGTGGACTCTACAGGAACAGAACATCGAGGTCCTCTATGGACAACAGAAAACCTCCAGGTCATCTATGGACCTCCATATCCTCCCTGGATCTACAGGCCTTCTATGTGTATAAGAAGCCCTCTAATTCTTTTATAGACCTAAGAGGACCACTAGGTCTTCTACAGACATTAGAAGACCTCTTCTTTAGACAGTAGAAAACCTCCAAGTCTACTATCGACAATAAAAGACTTTCAGATCCTCTAGTAGAAGACCTATGGGCAATAGAAGACATCTAAAGACTGTAGAAGACCTTCCAGCCCTTTATGGGCAATATAATACCTCCAGGTGCTCTATGGAGAATAGTAGACCTTCAGGGTCTTTATGGACATTAGATGACCTTCATGTCTTCTATGGAATGTAATAGACCAGCAAGTCTTCTATGGACAGTAGAGGACCTCCATGTCTTCTACCAGCAACAGACGATTTATAGGTCTTCTATGGACAATGGAAGAACTCCGGACTAACCAAATTATATAGGTTATCTTTTGCGCTACTTTTAAGCTATGAATTAATTTTTATAAATTTAATTCTGAAACTAATCTCCAAAAAACAATGTGTCCCCTTTGGTCATTTCCATATTATGGACCATAAAGAATATTGTTGTTTACATTGTCATAGATTTACTAATCATACATTTTATCCCAACCCCATGCTCTCTTTCCAGACAACAATCTCTGCTCTCCGATGAACAAGCCAAGGAAGTTGAACAGATCCTATCAGCAGCGCCCACAGTTGGTGTGGCGGATGCAGCTGTAGTGGCAGCGGCTACCTCGCCTACGCACATCAAGAATCTCATTGAAGAGGTCAAACCACAAACACCCTCGCCTCCGGCCGAAAAGGATGTTAGCGGTGGCAGTAGCCAGCACAAAACAATAATTTGTAACGACAACGAAGTAGAAGAAAACCAAGAGCAGCAGGAGGAGGAAGAAGAACAAGACATCGACAATAGTGAAAATTCAGCTGATGAGGATGAGTATACCCTTTATAGGGAAGACGATAAAGCAGAACAGGAATTGTCAGAGCATCAGCAACAGGATTCATATATTTTTGAAAATGTCACAACTAGCCATCAACTGCAACAGCAGCAGCAGCAACAATATCATCACAGCATAGTCACCAAAAATGTTAGTTTAGATGTGACCCAGCGTGTGGGAGACGTTGATAAATACGCCGACGATGATGACGATATTGAGGATGTGGATATTGTGGGCATTGGCGCCACATCTGTGTGCATAAATTCAACATTTACAGCATCCTCTTCGGCAGCAGCAGCAGCAGAAAGTAGAGAAGAAAAACAGGAACTTGTTGTAACTACACGAACAATAACAACTAAACAGTCCAACACCACCTCTTCCTCGTCGCAGTCAATCTATCAGCATAACCAAAATAACAGAACTCATGACGACGATGAGCCGGAATGGTTGCGTGATGTTTTGGAAGCTCCCAAACGTAGTTTAGAGAATTTGCTAATATCATCGACACAAAGCCATCATCAAAGCGGTAACAGTAATAAACATCATTCGGTGGAATCGTTAACATCCCCTCCGCCAACGACTGGTACCACAACCAACAACAACTCTTCCGCCAATTTATTCGACAACAATGATGCAACGGTTGTCGTGACTACAGCTTCCAAAGTTGAAACCACCTATGACGAGACCAATGATAGTACCACAATTTACATAGCATCAAACCAAAGAGGAGACACACAACAGGAGGAGCAACAACAACAACAGCAGCAACAATCCTTTGAATGTCATGATCAGGAAACATCGTTATTGAATCGAACATTCATACAGGATTCCAATGTCAATAGCACAAGCAACTCGCATTGCCAGTCAACGGCTGAGTCACTGCACGAGTCGATTGTCTCCGTTGAATCCACCCAATCGGATGCCACATTCAACAATCAGACAACCACCATTGATGATAGCATCATATCGAGCAAGCACAATTCGACATACTCGCTTAATGAACCACAATCGCTGAATACAACCAATACCAGTGTAACTGCCACGGAACTAGATGAATCACAATATTACATACCCGAATATCCGCCAGTGCGTAGCAAAGAAGTCTATGTGGAATCGGGTGTGCATTACTTTGAGGATGGCAATTTTTGGATGGAAGTACCTGGTAAGGCAACAATTCTCGATTTATATTTGAGGGGATCTTTTTGATGTAATTGCTTTTCTGTATTCTTTCCCAGGTCTTCTAGACTTCGACGATGATGAACTTTCGTATCCACCCATACCGGTCAAGAAAAATCCCAAAGTACGTTTTAGCCTAGGACCCATACAAGTATTCTCCACCTTCTCTGTCAGTGATTACGATCGTCGCAATGAAGATGTCGACCCGGTGGCTGCCTCGGCAGAATATGAGCTGGAGAAACGTGTCGAGAAAATGCACGTTTTTCCCGTCGAACTTATGAAGGGTCCTGAAGGTTTGGGTCTAAGTATTATTGGCATGGGCGTTGGTGCCGATGCTGGCCTAGAAAAATTGGGTATATTCGTTAAAACCATTACCGATAATGGTGCTGCAGCACGCGACGGTCGCATTCAGGTGAGTTGAAATTTTCAAGTTTTAAGATGTGGACAAACTTCAATTAAAACTTAAAAATTTGCTCAGGTCAATGATCAAATCATCGAAGTCGATGGTAAAAGTTTAGTGGGTGTAACGCAGGCATATGCTGCATCAGTACTGCGCAACACCTCCGGTCTAGTCAAATTTCAAATAGGACGTGAACGAGATCCAGAGAATAGTGAAGTGGCACAATTGATACGCCTCAGCTTGCAGGCGGACAAGGAGAAAGAAGAACGTCTTAAGAGGTCAGTATTAATAAGAAGCAACGAAACCAAAAAGACTTATTTCCTTTTTTTGGCCCCCCAGACAACAAGAAGAGTACCTACGCCGTACTCTCGACTACTCAGAAGATTCTACCCAGCCCGTCTCAGCCAATTCCAGTGTTTGTGAGGGACCCACCAGTCCCGTACAAGTCGAACATCCAATGGAGGTTGAGGCTACACACTCCCAGGAGGTAGAGTCTCTTAAGAGACTGCTACAGGAGGTAAGTTTCGTTTTCCGAAATTTTGTATTTTTACTAAATAATTAATTTGATCTCTTGTCAATTTTGTGGCATAACAATATCTGGAATCGGACATTTGCTTTACCCAGCATAAAGCGGTAATTAAACATAACAAATCACAAATCTAAACGCGGAAGTCTTGTCTTAACTTGCATTTCCATTCAGCACTTTTTATATATTCTCGTTTTGTTTTCTATACATTTTTTGTTTGAATAACACTGATCCGCGAAGTGAATGGTTAAAAATTAGATTGAAAAATGAAAAATGAAATTTAGGAAAATGAAAATTAGGAAAAAATTCTTATTAAGGGCTTAATAAACTCTATTTCGAAAGGGGTTGGCTTCGAAATATTCTTCCATTTAAACTCAATCAATCTTTATATGAATTTAGCAATCAATCATTTCGGAATCCAAGTCAAGTAGAAGCTTCCCAATTTCATGCGATTAAAAGACATTTAAGCGGCTTCATTCATATGTCCCATATAATGAGGAGCAATTTTCTCTCAGACCTATTAATTTACTTGTTCTTCTTCTCGAGATTATAGGTCAGATGACCTTAAATACCCTACAACCGATGTCCAAATGTCAAATGAATTTAGAAAAAAAAATTCTCCAAAGTGGAGTTAGATTTATTTATATATAGCTATACAGGGTGAGATGAAAAAACTGCAACCAACTTCAGACTGCTGTCAATTCTAAGCCACTCGTCCGACAGCTGTTACATTTTTTCCAGTGACAGCTCATTATATTGTTTTCAAGCGTACAAAAGCATTTTGTTGGGAATTTTCCAGAAAAAAATCAAGCGTGATTTCTTTCTATTTGGCTGGAAAACCACAAGTGGCTATCGTTAGAGCACTCCAGCATTAAAATGTAAATAAATCTTTTGTATCTCGTACCATCGCTCGTTACCGTGATACTGGTAGCGTAGCCCGACATCAAGAAAGTGGACGGAAGAAAACTGCAACATCAGCAGAAATGGTTCGAAAAGTAAAGAAGCGACTTGATCGAGCGTCGCAGTGGCCGAAAAATGGCTCTTCAGATGAACAAATCGCAATATTCCATTCGGAAAATATTGAAAAATGAGCACGGGGTAAGCCATTGAAATTCCAATGAGTGCAAGAACTTACACCGCAACAGAAAAAAAGACTCAAAAGAGCTAAATAGTTGCTTCACTTTGCCGAAAGTGGTGAACTGCCGAATTTGTTTTTTTTCTATGAGAAAACATTCGCTGTCCAGCAGTTTGTAAATAAACAAAATGATCGTGTTTACTTGCCAATGAGGTCAGCTGAAAATGTACACCTTCGGTTGGACACCAGAACACAAGCGCCGGCCGCCGATGTGGGAAGAGAAAAATGCTACGTCGTAAGCAACAAAGTACAAAAACGGTCATTAGTCTTAAATGTAATTTAGAAAAAATTCTCCAAAGTGGACTGATATCTTCGGAATAGTTTAATGATTACTTTTTTGATGTTCCAAAGCCCGCTTAACATTGGTGAAGATGTAATACACCAGGAGTTTTGTAACCTCGTGACCTTTAGTTGATGATACATGTGAACCTTTAATATTTATATAAGGTTCACAATCAATAAACTATTCAAGACGTTTACACAAAAAACAAAAAAACAGGTCGAAGATCACACTGATCAGCACATGAATTTTCAAATTTAAAAGTGAAAGGATTTATAATTCCGACCACCAATTGTGCCGTGGACCTAAAACTATTTTAAAATGTTGGGGACCAGATGGAAAAATCAAATGTCAAACATGTGCTACCTCATGGCAGATGGATTAGTACTAGATGCTATGAAAGCAGTGATACATCCATCGATTTTATATTTCAGTTCTTTAGTAAATTCCAGCATTCTCTTGTTTCGGGGTAGGGATAGGCTCATATGACGACATATCCAATTAAAAAGAATGTTGGAATCACAGAAAAATTTTCATGCCGATCTTTCTGATATTTGGTGGTCGTGTGATAAAATGCAAGACGGGTCAAGAATATTCAGATACAATTTGTTGCTGATCTGAAAGACCCTTGCTTATTAGTCAGAATTTTTTTTCTTTGCAGTTTTTGGGAACCACATCTGAATTCGAAACAATTTTTAAAATCGTTGTCGAATATATAAATGTAGAAAACAATGTTTTCAGAAACGTTTCTTCATTTTAGTACAGGCTATCCAAATATGCCTTGAACCACATTTTCCAAACGATTCACCTATCGCTGGTCGGTGTATACACGTTCTACATTTGTTATGTTTTAGTTGAGATCTTTCTTTTTGGAAATTCACTTTCTTAAAGAATTCGTTTATTTCGTTCTTTTTTAATTTTGCCTTATTTTCTGTTTATTTTAGAGTGAAATGAGTTGCCTTCTAAAAGAGGACATAATTGAAAACCTTAAAAGAAAGGTGGGTGTTTAATTATGTTCGCTATTTCTATCTATATTTCTTTATTGTTTTTCACAAATATTGGTTTGACATTTATTCATATAAATATATACATCTAAAACCTGCCATTGCGAATAAACAAATTAATCTAAAATATACATAACACTTGCAGCTTGTTAAACTCGAAACAACCGGCAATGAGAATGAACTGCTCAGTGAACGTTTACGCCAAAGCGAACGTGAACTGGTCAACATTAAAAAAGAGGCTTCCAACTTGCAAAATATGTTGCAACAATCCCAGGCCCAATACATGGCATTGGATAAGAAATACAACAAAGCCAAGCGTCTTGTACGTGAATATCAACAACGTGAAATTGATATGTGCCATCGTGAGGAATTCTATCAGCAATTGCTGCAGGAAAAAGACACGGAATACAATGCTTTGGTGAAAAAACTCAAAGATCGTGTCATAAATTTGGAACATGAACTGCAGGAGACACAGCGCAAGGCCGGTTTCCCCGTGGGACTGCCCTATGACAGTGCCACATTGAAGCTGACACCACAAATGATGCGTAAAACACCTCCGAAACCACTATTCCAAAAACTTGAAACCGAATTATCCGATACGGAAATTTCGGATTTATCACCGGACGGTGATGGCGTTAAGACTGCCACAGTAGAACGTAAGAACCCCGTCAAAGAAGAACTGGATGCTGCTGTGCCACAACATGAACTTCTGGATAATTCAGCCAATAAAACGAAAAGTGATTTGGGTAAGTTCAGTTCAGTGTGTTGAAGAGTTTGTTTTCGAATTTCGTTGCCCTTCAAAAAAGAAAAAAAGAATAGTTACAATCCTTTTTTGAATTATTCGTCTACCTATGCTTTGCATTTCCTATGAAAATTGTATTTTTGTTTAACGCCAAAAATTGTTCAATTTGAAAAAAGGGGCCTGGTGAAAGATTAGCGCATTGTTTTAATTCCAAAGATAATAAATGTCCTGCAAAGTAAATAACTTTTGCTATTTAGGAAAAAAAGGCGCGGTCATTATGGACCTAATGAATCTAACAATTTCTAAATATTAAAAGTTAAAAAAAAAATATGTTACAAATTATTTAAAACAACGCTTGCTTTTATAGAGGGTCATATTTTTTAATGTAAATTGGTTTTAATAATAAAAAGACTGTCTATAAGATTCTTGAAAAATGTTAAAAATCGAAGATATTCTAAAACTTTTACTTTGTAGCGGTCATTGTCGAACTCATTTATTGAAGAAACTAAATATTTGAAATTTGAAATAATTTTGACTATTACATTTTCGAAAAGTTTAAGGACAATTGAAGAATATTTGAATCATTTAATAACTTAATTATCCAAATTGTCCTAGAGCTATATTTTGGCATATTATTATAGAGAAATAACCCCTTCTGCCCCCCCATTTTCAATTGAACAATTTTCGTAATGCACCAATATATACTTCCCCCGTCACATTTCTTTCCTTAACACAACCACACACATCTGTTCTAAAGAAAATAATATTTGAAAATCATTAATTGTTTTTAGAGCACCACGATCGCTTTCTAATACTTCTCCTTTAGATTTTTTCACATTTATTTCGTAAACACAGAAAATAAATAATAATTTCTCCATTAAACTTTCCCCTATTTAATGAATGATTCAGAAGACACAGTGCTAGAAAAAACGAATACTTGTACAGTGACATAAGAAATATGTGTACGGATGGTATTTAACATTTTTTATTTTGTATTGGATGTATGTCATTGTAGTCTTAACTGTTCTGACATCTGGGTGTCTAGTCTGGTGGCATACAATTAAATCCGGAGCACTCATGTCCAAATTAACCACAGTGCAGAGAGCCGGAACTCTTAAGAGCACTACCCAATCTGCATTTAATGTCCAGCTAAACTTCCAGCCACTCGAGCTCAATTCTAAGCAGCAAAGGTTATAGAATTAGTGATTACATGTCTACCTTTCTCCACTTCGATTACATTGATATTAGGGATACTTGGGCTGGTGGTCAACCTCCTATGGACGGTCTGGCCATTGATACAAAATTACTGAAGGAACCGGTGCTGGCGTATTCTGCCTAACTCAATAATTTAACACTCATATAAGTTTAATCAACGGTTAACAGTAACCTGAAACCCCAGTTTTGACTTTTTTCGAATACCACTAAAGGCGCAATGGGAATTTGAAAGATGTATTCTCTTCCTCAAAATTCGATAAATCCATAGTCTATGGAATCCATATCCTAACAGAAAATGAAATAAACAGTTGATAGCTATGGACAATACTTAAAATTTATAATTCCCTAATAGAGATGCCTGGGCTGGTGGTGAACTTCCCTGTAGAGGCTGATAATTTTTAAAGATGGTTACAAAATGGATGGAAGGCTCCAGTGCTGAGTATTCTGCCCTTACCTAATGATAAAACACTCATAATTGCAGCGTTTTTTTTTCAGACCATCTTACCGATAATCTCGAGGAGAAGAACAATCTTCCTTCTGTCTGATCCAAAAATCTTGTTAGGCTTCAGATACTGCGGTATCTGATTTTTGACCTCAAGATGGACAATAGTGTTCCTGACTACTACTGTAGACTATGTGAAGGGAAAGAAAAAGAAGGTAGAGACGATTGAATATCTACTTTGTAGATATCCCGTGTTATCCAACAAGAAACATAGGCTATTTGGCACATATGGGAGATGGAAATTCTAACGTACTTCCCAGACATATATCCCATCATTATTTAAAAGTTTTCCAAAGGCATTCCCAGGCTAGGCAGACCACCCTGCTAACTACACGTCTCTGTTTACTTCTCCTTCTCGCTTCTATATCTCTCTTTTGCCCCAAATGTTTATTTCCTCGTAAGATGAACACAATGGACCAAAGGTCATCCATAGTTGAGTACTTTCTAAATTTCGTATAAACCAATGGTCTTATGTCCCACCAATTGAACTTTTTATACGATTACACCCCAGGTGGTAAGGGAATTATGTCTTTCTGAATTTGTTTATAACAGACAAAAGGAAACGAGATAGACCCACACAGATCTGCATAGAATCACATTCAGATATAGCTATAGCTCCCATATATATTGTTTTTCCGATTTGATATTTTTGTCCTCCGCAGCCGTAATATGTACTCTGTAACATGGCTATTTGGTATAATATATCAAATACAGCTCAGAACTACCTTTGCTAAATTTTATCGAGATCGGTTCAGATTTGGATATAGCTCCCATACATTTCTTCGTCCGATTTGCCTTTTATTGTGCACCAAACGTGTAATATCACACCAAATGGGGTAGAATTTGGGACTTACGACCAAATTGAGCCTAGAAACAAGTATGTCAAATTTGGAGAAAATCGGTTCAGATATAGCTATATCTCCAACATATATATTGTTTTTCCGATATGATACTTTTGTCCTCCGCAGCCGTAATATGTACTCTGTAACAACGCTATTTGGGATAATATATCAAATACAGCTCAGAACTACCTTTGCTAAATTTTATCGACATCGGTTCAGATTTGGATATAGCTCCCATACATATCTTCGTCCGATTTGCCTTTTATTGTGTGCCAAACGTGTAATATCAGTCCAAATGGTTGAAATTTAGTATGCCAATTTTTATCGAAATCGATCCATCCGGTTTGTTATTTTTGTCCTCCGCAGGCAAAATATGCACTCTGTAACAACAATATTTGAGGACATATATCAAATACAGCTCAGAAATACTTTTGCTAAATCTTATCGAGATCGGATCCGATTGTAATATTAGGTGAAATAGAATGGAATTTGGCACTTACGACCAAATTGAACCTAGAAACAAGTATGTCAAATTTGGTGAAAATCGGTTCTGATGTAGCTAAAGCTCTCATATATATATATTGTTCATCCGATTTATTTTATTTTTTATTTGTTTTATGAAGCTCTACTAAATATGCAAACGGGTGTGGGGTATCATAAAGTCGGCCCCGCTTGACATTTAGACTTTCTGGTTTCTGGTTTTCAAATAATTTAAAATTCCTTCGGCTTAACTCTCCGCCTGTCTCTTGAAATCAAGACAGACGGCACATTATTCTATATAAAAGGACAAATTGGGCTGCATTTTTTTTTTTTTTTTCAAAAAAAATCTCAAGACTAAGTGGCTGTAATTATAAATTTTAATGGGTTCAAGACCTTCTCTACAAACGTGGTCAATATTTACCCAGGTCCCGTAATATTCACACTATATGTATAAGGGTATCACCCAGCTGTTTTTTTTATGCTAATTCCATTTTCTAATTGAATGGGCTATATATAATCCCTCCCGCATACATATCCAATATTTAAAATATTCATATCGACCTAATACTGAAAGCGTTTCAAATCCTTTGTTAAATTTTTTGATATTTAACTTTGATTATAATAATAACTCCAAGTGAATTTGGATAAACTTTATGCATTATTTGTTAAACACTATCCATAAAAAATAGCAATTCAAAACCCTATTGTCACTTTGCAAGTATTGTTGTTTTCTCATTCCATGGCACTGTGTTCCCTTTTAGTATGTCTTCTTCGAGTTGAAAAAAAAAACAATCCTTCTTCTTTTTTCGAAATTTAGTTCTCTTTTAGATGTCTACAAAATTACAATGAAACATTCTTTTTTTATTTTCTTTTATTTTTATGTAAAACAAAATCAAAATACCAAACTCGAATTTATTTTAATTTATAAAACGACAAATTCTATTCGAAAATCGAACTGTTCGAACGTCAAATATTGCTGCTGTGTAAAAAAATCAATGTTTTTTGTACGTCTACAAAAAATTGCAAAACAAAACAAACAAATAACTCACAACAAAATTGAATGTACAATACGATTCAAAAACTACTGTGAAATTTGTTCAACCAAACGCACAATGTCCGTGTTTGTATCTCTCTCTATGTGTGTGTGTGTGTGAATGTTTGCTGTCCCATCCATATGCTGTGAACTGAACTGATGTTATTTATGTTTTGTATATGTTTGCGCCATTTGCCATCGAATTTTGCAATGAAACGAAACAAAATCAATAAATAAAACAAAAAAACATATCCATGTCCATCTCCAAAAAAAAAAAAAATCATCATCAAATGTAAAAAATGCCAATCATCAACCCCAACTGAAATCTTCATAATTCGAAATTATTTTACGGCTGTTGCTGCGCTGCGCTTATCTTCTTTTGCTCTATAACTCGAAATCATCATTTATTTTTTGTTATGCAAACCATAAAAAAAATTTCGAAAATCCAACAAAAAAATAAAGCTTCCCGTGGTGGTTTAGCTAATCGTCAACTACCATCTGGTAATAATTCCAATACAAGTTCGAGCGCCTCGAATACCACAACTGCTGTAACAATTGCTGCCGGCAACAGTACCAATAACCTGTCGAAGCGCACCCTGAGTAACAGTAGTTCGGACTGTGCCCTGGAAGATGCCGAAGATGATACCGCCCTGCAAAACTGCGCAACCATGCCGGCCGGTCTTATGGGTAACATTACTAATACTAACAACCATGCTCATTACGCTCACACAAACAACACAACCAGTACGTCAGCGTCCAATCATGAACTAAACCTATCCAATGGTATACATCATCATCACCACTCCCCAAGTAATCTCATCAGCAATGGACATCATCTTAACAATGCAATAAATGTCGCTAGCAATGGTGTGGGTAGCAATGGTAATGGTGGTAATGGTGCCATAGCCGGCACCACCACTGCCATCCTGCTTAATTCAACCGCCTCCTCATCAGCATCCTCCTCGGCTAATTCACGGGAACAACAGATCAATCAGTTGTATGCCCAAGTTCATAAAGATCATAAGACATCGGCTTTGCATACCGGTCTACCGGGTCTATTCAAGAATACGCTCGGTTCGCCTGGTGAGGCCACAACAACAACAATAATAACAACCACAAACACCAACAATACCACAGCTAGTCCCAATGATTTTCATCGCGGTGGCATGACCACCTTCGGTACTAGCAATCGTGATCTCAATAGTTCGTATGATTCAATTCTAGGCTCAAACGATAAACTCTCCGAGAATGAGCATTCATCGGACAATTGGATGTATCCCAGCCGGCGGCGTGTCGGACCGACGGGGGCGATAATCGGTGGTAAAATGCCGCCATCATCATTCACCGAACAACTCAATCAGGCATTATCGGAAAGAGAAAGGTAAGTGAATGAATACGAAGTTTCTTTTTACTACTATCACAACAAAAATACGAAGTGCATATTAAAATTAAAAGAGTATCAACAAATAAGGAATTTCATTCTTCAATGATGTTGAATGGCCTAAAAATATTAAAAGAAATCGTTAGTATGAATGTAATTGGTTTAAAAATGCATGAGAAGTAGCTAAGGCTTTGGATGAGAACATCAAAAAAGTAGGGTCTCGGTCTAATTAAATTTAAAACCATTAATTAAAGTTCGAAATCGTACTATCAGGATGAATTCGTAAATTTGGAGATTTCCATGACATTTTTTATAATATCGCTATTAAAAAAAATAAATAAAATATTTACTTTTGAGTATTTTTAAATATATTTGTTAATCCACGATTTGTAGGTCCTTACAAAATATTAAAAGAACATTTAGACTTGAGCTTTGAAAAAAATGTTTTTTTTTTTTAAATTCAAAACTTGTTTTGCCTTTAAAGAAATTTTATTTTAAATATCCTAAAATAGTTCTGTAGTTGGAAAAATTATTCTTAAAAAAATCAGCACTTTACATGTTCTTTTAAAAGGCCTTTTAAAAAATATTTTTCAACAAATTCACAACTTCTTTGATCTTTAAAAACATATTTTATTATATATTTTTTAATTGTTTAAAGAATCCAAAAAAAAAAAAAAACTAAAAATACATGACTTGTGTCTTGAAAAAAGATTCGCGACTTGTTTTGAAGAAACACATTTAAAAAAACTACTTGTTTTTATCTTTTTTCAGCCAAATAGATTGTAAAATATAGCCAGGACCCTAATTAAAATCAGGGGATATATTTATATAAGGACTGTGATAAAAGCTAAGCCTATATTGTAATAGCATTTCTACATAAGGACTCAAAATGAGAGAATTTGGCGAATTGAATGGAAACAAGTTAAAAAATATCAGTCGGTTTTGCCGACAGATGTATGCCTTCAGCCAATGTTAGATTATTTAAATATATTTTAGACATTTATATCCAATTTTATGCGAAATCATAAATTCCATATTCATCCCAGGTTTTTGCTTGACTATTGGAAATTGTGACCCTTTCTGGTTGAGGTACCAGAAGGGGTTCGCAGTTATACAGAGGAGATAAAAAAACTGCAACAAAGTCAAACGCCATAAGTTTTACATTTTTGTTTTTAATTTTATTGAATGAAAGCAAAAAATGTCGGAAATAGCATCAAATTTTAGAATAAGTTTAGATTTGTTCGAATTGGTTACCTTGGGCACGAATTATGGCCTTCAAACGGTCAATGGTATTTTGGTCCATTCCCGGCGATGCGCTTGCTTGAGGTGACACATTGGTATTTTTAGTGCCAACCTTTCGGTCCATTCCATCACGATCAAAATTTGGAATAAATATAACTCTTATAAAATATGATGTAAGAATCCGATTATATTCAAATTACATACATCACTATATTTTTTTAATCAAAGGTCTGGTGTGAAGGTTTAATATATCAGCCCACTCCTTCTATTACCTCCCCCACAAAGGGTCAAAATTTTTAATATTAATGAAGCTCACAATTCCACACGAAAGTTGTGGCAATTTTAACCTATATATAATCGAATGTCCATCCAAAATGATAGACTTCTTCCCTGTCCTTAACTCTCTCCTAATGCAAAATTTCGTGTACATTTATTTTCAATTGTGATATGTAAAGCGAATGCAAAATCAGGACAATTTTTATTTGTTGATCCATTTGAACCCCTAAATGCACATCTTCCAAAACAATGGGCCTTAATTCTAACTCAAACCCTACCCCCATGCAAAATTTCGTGAAGATCGGAAGATAATTGCGACCTGTATTTAATACCCTCAACGCATAATGCTGCGGGGTGTAGAAAAACTTTAGAAAATGTAGAATTCAAAATTGTAAATCAAATTGAAAAAATCGCATGCGATAAAAAATATGACAAAAAAATGTGAAAAATATAACAAATAAAATTGACTTCTTTTATTGTCATGTTTTTACGCGATTCTATTTATTTTATACTATACCTATTTTGTTATATATCTTATATCTTGGCTATTAGCATCACTGTAATGGTCAGAGGTGAAATTTAATGTATTTGTGATTTGGGCGGGATTAAAAATATTGGCGGTTTAGTGTAAATTTTCTTATTTTTTGACATAAAATTTAGGGTCTATTTTAGCCGCTAAATATTGTCCTATTTGGTTGGCCTCTACCCAGCCCTAAACTCTAACTTCATGCAAAATTCCGTTTCGTTTGGTTTATAATTTTTGCCTGTAGAGCAAAAGCAAAATCACGAAAGTTTTCTGTTTTGGGTCCTAAAAAAATTGCGACCATCTCCAAAAACTATAAGCTTCTATTCTGACTCTATCCCCACCTCCATTTCAATGTCGTGGGAATCGGGCCATAAATGCGACCAGTAGCGTGATTAACATGGACAGACGGACGGCTAGATCGACTAATCTCGCCGAGATAGAAAGATCCATACATAGTTTCCCATGTCGGGTACCAATATTTCGAGGTATAACATAATTTGTGGCCCAATCACACTTATAATACCCTAACACATGGTGTTGTAGGGTATAAAAAATCTAAAAATAAAAATATATTTTGTTGTTGCAAAATCGTCAGGCGAAATCCCATTATTGTTGTTTTTATAAAAACAACGTTTGTTTATGAGTGGAGAACGATGGTAATGTTTACCAGGGGGTAAGGCAGGGAATACCTAGGTTTCGGAAAGAGCCACCAATCCTCATCAGTTCCCTTGTTTCTTGTCTGGGATATTCTCCCCAGAAGTTAAAAAAATAACTTCTATGACAAAAAACATTTTTTTTTACCCAAGTGACGAGATCGTAAGCTCAATAGAAGAGGAACAAAAGAATTACAGAAAACTAAAATTCTTTTGGAAAATCTTCTAAATCTTACAACCGCACTCATAAACATTTACATCTTTCTCCACTTTGTTATGCTTTCGTTCAACCTGAACGAAGTAACATAACCATGTAAGTTTGTTTTGTCTGTTACAACAAAAACCCCTTCGTCGACCGTGCCTGTGTCTATTAATAGAACAGAGTTTGGCTTGCTTGTTTGGGATACCATAGTATTTTGTTGTTGCAAAATCGTCAGGCGAAATCCCATTATTGTTGTTTTTATAAAAACAACGTTTGTTTATGAGTGGAAAATATACAAAATACTATGGTATCCCAAACAAGCAAGCCAAACTCTGTTCAAATAAAAATATATTTTTCTGTTAGGGTCAATTTTTAGATACTTTAACTTTAAAAGACTTACATTTCTTTAGAACTTTTCATTAATTAAACCTAAATCAAGTGCATATTTAATTCTAATAATATTCTTTACTATAATTTATTTTCTAAATAACATCTATTAAATGTTTTTCTTTTTTATACCTCTTTTTTTCAGGCGTTTGGGTGATGGCTCATCACGACATTCCAGCGATGATTATACGGAAATAAACAAAAGCCAATCGGCGGCAGCTATCAATTGCAAAACATTAATTAACGAAATACGACAAGCTGTTAATGAGGCTCAACCAAAAGGTGACACACCCTGTTACTTTTCTAAGCAAATTAATCAAAAAACCAAAATCAATAAAAACAAATCAGTTTCATACACTTATATATAGAAAATCAAAACCACAACAACAAAAAAAGCAACAAAATTTTAATATTAAAAAAAAAAGAAAATAAACAAAAAAACATAAGAATTAGCACTGCAAAAATAAAAACCTGCATATTAAGTAGTTCCCTTCCTCCCCGAACTAACCAATAACAAACATTTTAATTTAGGACCACCATCTCCCCTAACTCACAACACACTCACTCACCCACTCATCCAAAAAGCAATAACAAATTATTATTGAAATTGGTTTGTTTTTCTTTTTTCATGCTTAATTTCCCTTTTGTAAATTTCCCCTACATCAGAGTCCAATTTGAAATTTGAAATTATGTAATTAGTTGATTATGAAACTTTATTGGTGTGTTGTAATTTATATATATTCTATTAAATAGTTAATTATTTAGTTATTAATGCCTGCATTTGATTATTTAAGCCAAGGGAAAACTGTGAGATACTTTGGAAAAAAAAACTTCCTTAGTTTTCCCTTTATGTTATCATAGCTGTTGTTAACAAAATCACTTTTAAATATTGTAAAAAAATAATGTTGAATATACTTGCATACGTAATATATGTAATAAGTGAAAACTTCCTTAAATTGTATAATATTTAATGGTCTACATGTGTGTTTCTTTTTTTTTCTTATTCTATCCCCTTTACTCTTTTGATTTTCTCCTTTTTATTTTGACAAATCTACTTAAATAACATGCCTTTGCCTGCCTGCAAAATGAAACGATCTGGTGGTAACTTAATGCTAACTAACCTCTTATTTTGGGAATATTCTCCAAATAAATATTATCCACTTTCTTTGATAAATCAAAATAATAATGAAAAAAAAAATAGTTAAACAAGTTATTCCTCAATCTTTATCTCCGCCCGGTACAGTACCGTGGCAACAGCAAACCTCTTCATCACACAGCAATGGTCCTCCCTCACCGACCAGCATGTCATCGGGCTGTTCATCACCCGGTTATTCACCTAGTCGCGGCTTGGATTTATCCGGCTCAAGTTCAAGTTTTTCAGATCGCAAGGCAGCTGTGTACAATTACAAAGGGGGACCAGTACATGAATGGACCAAAGAACAGGTATGTTTAATGATTAAAATCAAGATAATTTTTAAAAGTATCATTAACAAATGTTATGAAAATTCGCAGATTTATCTCCGCTGTGTTTAAAAAATTAAGAAAATGTAACAAAATTTAATTAGAATGGTTTTCAAATTATTGATAATAATTCTATGATCTTTTAATCGATTGCTATCATTTGTTTAGGTTATGAAATGTCTGACTGCCATAATTCAATAGTAGGTTTACTCCGAGATCTCTGGGCCTACTGCCTTCATCCTACTTTTTCTTAGAGAAAAAATGATACCGGAAGACAACATTCATTTTTTCATTAATTACAGGACAATCCAGTAGGTTATAAAACTAGAGATAGCCAGTAAGCAAAAGTCGGGCAGAGCCGACTATATGATACCCTACACCACTATCTGATTTAGTAGAGCTCCGGTAACAAAAAAGTTTATATTAGGAATCTATGCGAAGTGGACCATACAAATATGACTTCGATAAGGATTATATTAAAAAATATTTATTGGAGCAATATATATACCGGACCGAATTTTACCGAATGGTAAAATTGGGTTGAATATGAAAAAATCTATTCAATTTGGACTAATATTACATATATGGTGAGCAATAACCGCGAAATAGGATGAAGATGTATATCAAGGCTATATAAAAATCTGAACCGATCTTGCTAACATTTGGCAGAGGTATTTTCGAGCAGTATCTGTTGCACGGTATCAAATATAATTTTTTGTGGAGTGCATATTACGCATGTGAGGGACTTAAACACGAAATCGTATGAAACATATATATATATATGAGCTATAGCTATATCTGAACCGATTTTCTCCAAATTGGATGTACTTGCTTCTGGTCGGATGTGCCAAAATTCAGGTCATTTGGACTCATATTGGCCATTTGGTGCACAATTAACCCGAAATCGGTTGAAAATATATATGGGAGCTATATCTAAATTTGAACCAATTCTCACCAATTTCAATAGGGTTTGTCCTTGGGTCAAACAAATATCGTTTGCAAAGTTTCATCTCAATCGGATAATAAATGCGAAATTTGTTCACAAAAATCGATGGACAGAAGGACTGACATACATAAATCGACACAGAAAGTGATTCTATAAAGCTCCTCAAAAGGAATTACGGGTCTATCTCTCTTCCTTCTCCATCTTAAAAACAAATTCCTTCTCCATCTTAATATAAATTTATGAAAAGTGAATAATCCTTAGTAATCTTATATATCTCAATAACTATTCAAAAACATAATAAATATTGCCCATTTAAACACACTTCTTTTTTATTCACAGGTTGGCCACTGGCTTTTGGGCATTGAAATGGAACGTTATATACCAGCCTTTAAGGAACACAATGTGGAAGGTGGTGCTTTGTTATCCTTAGATTCGAAAGACTTAAAAACGCTGGGTGTTACTGGTGACGACAAACATCGTTTGAAACGACGTCTCAAAGATCTCAAGGCCAGCATAGAAAAGGAACGCAAAGACCAGGAACGGGAAAGGCGTGAACGAGAAAAGGCCATACGCAAAGCTGAGAAGAAAGCGGCCAAAAAGAAATAAATGCCAGATAATAAAACATAGCAGAAAATAAAAACACACAATTATAACAACAAAATTTTAACTAAAAACAATTTCTAAGCTAATTTACACACACAAAAAAACAAAGAGGAAAAAACAAACTGAAAATACATAAATTTAGTATTAGCTTTTTTAAATTACTATTATAATTATTATTCATATAAATATAAGTAAATAAAAAATGTATTTGTTAAGCTCTACCAAAAAAACATAAAAACAACAACTGCAACACTTAGGAAAGAAATACACTTAACCAACCAACCAACAAAGAAACCAAAATATGTAATACAACACCATACACATAGCCACACACACATACATACACAAAACGTAAAACAAACCTGGCAACAATTATTATTATTTTTATGATAAATGAATTATAATTTATATAGTATATGAATTATTTATTATTATTAATTTATAAAATTAATATACAATTTTATTAATAAGCATTTTAAATGTAATTTTTAATATTTTTATATATATATAAAAAAGAAACTAGTTTTATATATATGTTGTAAAACTATATCTATAAATATTTTACTTAAACATTTGTTTAACTGTAAACTTAAATCTGTCCATGCTATCGCCCAACATTGAATTTCGTATTTATTTATAGGCCACAAACAAAAACACATACACACGAATTATTTATCAATATTGTTGTTGTTTTTCAAAATGCTACTGAGGGTTTAATAGACATTTTGGGAGCTCTTTGCAATTCGACATAAAGAAATACCGATTAATATATATTTCGTTAAAAAGGCAGCAAATGAAACGATTTAGATGCTAACAACGATTACGAAAATCATTTAGTTTTCTGGTACATTTTTTATTTTTATTTATTTTACTAAAATTTTCCCCCATGCAACATGCTTGTCTCTTTACACATACGAAATTCTCTTTGCCTCTACTTTCCGAAGTCTAAAAATGTAACTCTGTTCTCAGGCTTTTGTGTTGATTTTCTTATAAATAAAGATGGGATCTATGTCTGACAGGAACGATAGATTTCCTGTCAAATTGCCTTTGTCTTTTGTTGGACAATATGGGACATCTGTAAAGTAGATGTTCAATCGTCTCTACCTCTTCTCCATCTTCACATAGTCTACCCTAGTAGTCAGGAAGACTGTTGTCATATCCAGAGGTCAGATGTCTGATGCTACAGTGACCAGTCAGTATGTCTACCACGATTCTTAGATCAGGCCTACCAAGTGAAAGAAGGGAGCTTGTTCTTTTCCTCGAGACTCGAGATTGCGATGAGAGATGCTATAATAGCTTATTGGTGGCTAAACAATCTCAGCAATCTCAGGGAAAGCATCAATCAAATTTCAATTTTTCCTTTAATGACAGAAGGGAGCTTTTTCTTTTCCTCGAGGTTACCGGACCGATGGCCTTAGATACCCTGCAACCAGTTTCCATTAGCCATTTTCTTTCAGTTTATTCGTTTAGAGATTTTTTTGAAACAGCTGGATCCATAGCGAAAAGGGTTTATCCCGTTTTTAAAAAGAGAAAGCAGCAATCAAATATAAATGTTTCCTTTTATGATGTTCGAAAATTGCCAAAATTAGGGTTAGAGGCAATAATTTGTTCACCGTTCACAGTAATCCATTTCTATCATTTGTAATCATACATTACGAAAATGACTTCCGTTAGCAAGTGAGTCTGCATATTTCGATCCAAATATATTGAAATATTGACGTCTATTGAAAATTAAATTATTATCAGGGAAATTTTCCCTACATGATACCATAGAAACGAAATTCTGAATTTGTAGACACAAATGTTAAGGGATACTTTAGAAAACCCTCTATGCATTTTATTCCAAAAATGTCTCCAAAATTGTATCTTTATTCATTGTCCCGCCTATCTACCTCTCTCTACCTTTCGGTAATTCCTTTTACAAAGAATACTTCTTAAAACGTGCAGTGAAATGTTGTTTCCAGATAATAAATATATATTTCGTGTCACTGAAGGTGAAGAGATCAATTCGTCGGACCACAGGCCAATGTTCTCAAGCAAATACTGTCCTCGAATTCCAGAAATTGGCCTCTGTTCCCATCCTTTTTGTTGATTTTCTTAAGGTCTACAAACTAAAAAGGAAGTGATGCGTTCAAAGCATTGTCCATAGTAATTCACTGCTTTTTCCAGCTTGCTGTTAGGATATCGATTCTATAACAAAAAAGGACTCATCCCAATTTTCAATTATCCAATTTTCATTATTCCTTTGAATTTGTGTGAAAGTTGTCAACAATTTTGAATTCAGACTATTTTCTGTATATTTGGCCTTGACATTGATTTGGGCATGAGGTTATCGCAATGTATCCATTTTTATCATCTGTAATCGATACGATGCGAAAATGAGTCCTTTTCCCAGGAGCAAGCATCATCATTTTCGATATTTCCGATGCTACAGCACATGTAAGCCATAATGTAATGCCACATTGATGTCTATGGAAAACTGAATTATTGTGGCGGAAGTTTGTCCTCCATAGAATATAGAATCGACCTTTTAAATTTGTAGACCCAAACGATGAGATATATTATAAAAAAAGCATCTCCCCATTTCATTCCAAAAAATCGGCAAAAACTATAATTTTCTATTAATTGTTATACCTTCTACCTCTTCTCCATCTTCACATAGTCTACCCTAGTAGTCAGGAAGACTGTTGTCATATCCAGAGGTCAGATGTCTGATGCTACAGTGACCAGTCAGTATGTCTACCACGATTCTTAGATCAGGCCTACCAAGTGAAAGATGGGAGCTTGTTCTTTTCCTCGAGACTCGAGATTGCGATGAGAGATGCTATAATAGCTTATTGGTGGCTAAACAATCTCAGCAATCTCAGAGAAAGCATCAATCAAATTTCAATTTTTCCGTTAATGACAGAAGGGAGCTTTTTCTTTTCCTCGAGGTTACCGGCCCAATGGCCTTAGATACCCTGCAACCGGTTTCCATTAGCCATTTTCTTTCAGTTTATTCGTTTAGAGATTTTTTTGAAACAGCTGGATCCATAGCGAAAAGGGTTTATCCCGTTTTTAAAAAGAGAAAGCAGCAATCAAATATAAATTCTTCCTTTTATGATGTTCGAAAATTGCCAAAATTAGGGTTAGAGGCAATAATCTGTTCACCGTTCACAGTAATCAATTTCTATCATTTGTAATCATACATTACGAAAATGACTTCCGTTAGCAAGTGAGGCTGCATATTTCGATCCACATATATTTAAATATTGACGTCTATTGAAAATTAAATTATTATCAGGGAAATTTTCCCTACATGATACCATAGAAACGACATTCTGAATTTGTAGACACAAATGTTAAGGGATACTTTAGAAAACCCTCTATGCATTTTATTCCAAAAATGTCTCCAAAATTGTATCTTTATTCATTGTCCCGCCTCTCTACCTTTCGGTAATTCCTTTTACAAAGAATACTTCTTAAAACGTGCAGTGAAATGTTGTTTCCAGATAATAAATATATATTTCGTGTCACTGAAGGTGAAGAGATCAATTCGTCGGACCACAGGCCAATGTTCTCAAGCAAATACTGTCCTCGAATTCCAGAAATTGGCCTCAGTTCCCATCCTTTTTGTTGCTTTTCTTAAGGTCTACAAACTAAAAAGGAAGTGATGCGTTCAAAGCATTGTCCATAATAATTCACTGCTTTTTCCAGCTTGCTGTTAGGATATCGATTCTATAACAAAAAAGGACTCATCCCAATTTTCAATTATCCAATTTTCATTATTCCTTTGAATTCGTGTGAAAGTTGTCAACAATTTTGAATTCAGACTATTTTCTGTATATTTGGCCTTGACATTGATTTGGGCATGAGGTTATCGCAATGTATCCATTTTTATCATCTGTAATCGATACGATGCGAAAATGAGTCCTTTTCCCAGGAGCAAGCATCATCATTTTCGATATTTCCGATGCTACAGCACATGTAAGCCATAATGTAATGCCACATTGATGTCTATGGAAAACTGAATTATTGTGGCGGAAGTTTGTCCTCCATAGAATATAGAATCGACCTTTTAAATTTGTAGACCCAAACGATGAGATATATTATAAAAAAAAGCATCTCCCCATTTCATTCCAAAAAATCGGCAAAAACTATAATTTTTTATTAATTGTTATACCTTTCTATAAAATTTTCATTTCATTTCGCAAATCTACACATTCATTTCGATCGAATGCGAGAATTTAATAATTTAATTTGGGGAAGTCATTAATGACCACACTGCGATCTAAAATTAGTTTCTTCCAAAAGATGTAAGAGTGGTGGCATTGGAAAAGCAGCGCAAGGAAGAAATCTAAGCATTATTCGGATGTTATTTAGCAACTAACCAAAATGACAGGTGGTGTTGAAATTTATGTTTGTCTTTTGTGAGCAAACATGAAGCAGCGCTATAGAAAGAGTTGTTTCCTTTCAATCTCATCCTCTCAAAGACTGGATTTTTGGCGTTTTATTATATTTTTCAACCGAAATCGTAAGAACCCAATATGTAAAATGTCTCTTCGCAAAAAGATTGACAGAAAGAACTTTTAAGGTTTCGTTTGGATCTGAACATCATGGAAATTTAGTTGAATGAAAATGTGTTTAAAAAATCAATAGCCTAAGCCTAATTTTGGCTGTAGACTGTAAAAATTTCTCTCTTCGATATATGGCCTGTTTTACTATTAAAGTACGTTTAAAATCGAAGATAGTTTCCTGATAACCACAATGACAATATGTCACTGTTTATTTGGAAGAGTTTTATAACTCTCACAGTGTGCTGTGAAACAGGTTTACGAAATTATTTTTTTTTTTTATAATTTTACCAAATTCTACCCTTAAAGGTATGACAGTTGCTGTTTAGTTAGCATCGACGACTTGGGGGCAAAATTAACTCTTAAATTTTTAGAAATAAAGATTTTTCTAAACTCTCAGTAACACCTAGTTTATTAGATCAACCCAAGAGAAGTAATTCATTACACTAGGGACTTCAACTGAAGATAAAATAAGACTTGATTAAGTTTCTTCTAAAATTGTTAATAAAATTCAATTTGATTTTAAAAGAAAATATATTTCTATTTGTAAATATATTTAAACAAAATTTAAGAATCAATTTTTTCTTATGGCCTTTAAAAGGTCCAAAAATATATTCCATAAGCATTTGTTGTTTCTATTACTTAAAAAATTATAAAATATGTATTAAATACTTGTTGAAGTCCTTCTAATCGCACAGTAGATTCTGAAACACACATACACATATAAACACAAATAAATAATTATATTCTTTGTTTCGATACTAAACGCTCTTTGAAATCTTAAAAAAAATCTTATTTCCACCAAAACTGAATTGTGTCTTTCTTTAGTTTTATTTTTAATTCTTTAACCCATATTTATAATGAATGTATTGCAATTTATTGTTTTTCTTTAGTATTTCTTTTAATTTTATTTTCTTATTCAAATATTTGTTTTGTTTTTAGCCTTTAAGTGTTGTTTTACAAAAAAAGGAAGATTATTATTAAATTGAAAAGAAACATGAAAACTCCCCCAATTTTGTTTTAATTTTTTTATTATTAATCGATTTCTGTTTTGGAACTCAAAGCTGACTGATTTTTCATTAGTTGTTGTATAGAAAAGCAAAAAAAACAAATAAAATAAAATCAAGGAAAAAAACTATTACTCTAATTATAGTCAGATTTCAGTAAAACAAAATAATCTATATATACATAATTATATTAAATTTAATTGTAATTATAAATTTTAAACCAAAGTAAACAATAAGAGAAATATTTGTGTCTCCAAAAAAAAAAAACCATTAAAAAGTTATTTATTTCAAACTTATCTTTTGTTTATTTTGTTAATCTTTTTTGTTTATATATTTAAAAATTTAAACTGAATCGAAGAAGTTCTGTGCCTTTCAAGGCCCATATATAAATCCATTTTATTTAAGAATTCTTTAACATTTCAGAGTAATAGTCAGGTGGTGGTCGGCAATGACTTAATACTAGTTTCACTACTGCATATAACGCCCACAAATACAAGACGACGCAAAAGTAATACTCCTTTCAGAAAATGCTATAAATTTTACGATTGGCCCCTAATGTCTTAATTACAGCCAAAAAACATCGAAGGTTTACTTTTGCGGGAGCATGTCCTATTGATTTTGAAATTGAGCCAAACTGATACAGGTAAAAAGTATTAACTGCAATTTTTATACCTTCGATATAGCCTCCATAGTATGGAGGTATTTTAAGTTCGTCATTCCGTTTGTAACTCATTGAAAGAATTAAAATAGACATAACAAAGTATACATATTCTTGATCAGCATAAAATTCTAAGACTAGCAATTAGACTAAGACGATATAGCCTCCATATAACGGTACCTCCCAATATTTGGTATTTTGATGATTTTAGCGAGATAATTGACCGGAGTTGTTTCAAATTTCGTATTTAGAGTTCGTAATGGGAACTACAGAAAATAGTTTATACAGGTCCAGGTCTTCGTATAGGCCTTATATATCAGTACCTCCCTATATTCGGTATTTTGACAATTTTAGGTACAATATTCACCGAAATTGTTTGATATTTTGTATTTGAAGTACCCCTGATGTTCAGTATTTTAATGATTGTAGCCAAAATTTTCAATGAAATTGTCTGAAAATCCACAAAAGGAGTTCCTTCTGAGTGCTTTACCCCTGGAAGAGTATTGTTTATATAGGTCCACGATAACGTATGTAAGTTTTTATTCGGTTTTCTGACGATTTTAGGTACAATATGCTGTTACTGAAAATTGTCTATGCAGGTCCAGTTCTTCGTATAGGAATGATATAACGGCTATACTCTGTATTTTTAATATTTTAACAGCATTTTTATTTTTTTCAATATTTTGATCATTTTAACAGCATTTTAAAATGGAATTTTTTGAAGGAATTTTTAGAATTTTGGAAAATTCCTTCTAAGTTCCGAGCTGAAATTAGCTGCATTTTATACTCTACACCACAAGGTGGTCAGAGTATTATGTCTTTGTGCATTTGTTTGCAACAGGCAAAAGGAAACGAAATAGATTCATAGTTCCCTTTGACGATCTGCATAGAATCACATTCTGAGTCGATATGTATAAATCGTCAGTCCGTCCGTCTGTCTGTCCACGTATTCTTGTGGACAAAATGCAGGTCGCATTTATTATCCGATTGAGCTGAAATTTTCCAAACAATATTTCTTTGGTCCAAGGACGTACCTTATTGGTGATAATCAGATCAGATTTAGATATAGCCCCCATATATCTTCAACCGATTTCGGGACAATATAAGTCCATGTGACCAATATAAGTCCAAATGACCTGAAATTTGTTACATCCCACCGAATTCAGTCTAGAAGCAAGTACATCAAATTTGGATAAAATCTGCTCAGATATAGCTATAGCTCCCATATATATGTGTCATCCGAGTTGGGGTTTTAAGTCCCTCACGTACGTAATATGCACTCCACCTGAATGATATTTGGCGCCTGGTATCAGATATTGCTCGCAATACCTCTGTCAAATTTTATCGAGATCGGTTCAGATTTGGATGTAGCTCCCATATATATCTTTATCCGACATCAGGTTTATTGTGTACAAAAGGGCTAATATCAGCCCGAATGGACTGAATTTTGGCAATTACGACTGGATTCATCTTAAAAAGCGATACTTCAAAAACACTTCAGATGTAGCTATAGCTCCCATATATATGTTTAATCCGACTTAGTGTTTAAGTCCCTCACATTCATAATATGCATTCGACAACAATAATATTTGGTACCAGATATCTTATGGAGCTCGGAATTACCTTTATCAAATTTTATAGAGAACGGCGAGAAGATTTAGATATAGCTCCCATATATATCCTTAATCCGATTTCAGGTTTATTGTGCAAATAATGGCCAACGTCAGCCCAAATGGAGTGTATTTCGAGATGTACGTTTCCATTTTGTGGAACTCGGCTCCGATATATATTTTTTAATATAATCCTTCTTGAAGTGGTATCATGCACTCTATAGCAATGTTATTTGGTATAAAAGATTAAAATTTAGAAATTTCAAATTTAGAAAAAATCGATTCAGAATCGGATATGCCTCCCATATATTATTACCCTCTGAAACCAAACTGTAACTGCTTCAAAGCTAAATGTAGATAGATGGGATGATCTATTTCAAATAAATTATTTTGTTACGGGATATGAATATGCTTAGTGGTATAGGGTATTATATAGTCGGCTCCGCCCGACTTTTGACTTTTTCTTTCTTGTTAATTTATTTCCATTCTTTTTTAATAAATTTTCCACCCCGCAGTGCATCAAATTAATATAATAATACTGGAAGGTGGTGAAATCTCAAACAAACAAGATAGAAATGTTGAAGAAATTTTTTTGGAAAAATGATCGAAACTTTGCTTTCTCATTAAAGGCCAAGTAGCGCGAAAAGAGTAGTCCTAGTATTTTTGTTGAAAAATAAAAATAATAGTGTTTTTTTTTTTCAATTTCTTGGTTTTCTTGAGGCTCAATAAAGATCAAACCGTATTTTATCCTCCAGAAAAAAACTTAATTTCTTACGAAGTTTTTTAATTAAAATTAAAAAAAAATAAATAAAATAAAAAAATTCCTTAGTATCAATAAGTATATCTTTGGAATTACTGTTATAAAAATTCCATTCATTAATTTTCTGCTCAGAGAATTATAATGAGACAAATATTCAATTTTTTTAATTCTTTTAATCTGTTTATAAAACACATCCACTGTTTTAAACAGAGGATTCCCCTATCATTTCATACAAATATTAATTCAATCTTCTTAAAACCGTTTGTTTGTTACGATTTTCCACCAACCAACAAAAAAACAACATTTTCATTTTTATTTAATTTTATTTCACAAGAAAAAAGCAAAAAAAAAAAAAACAAAATCAAATAATTTTCTCCTTTTTGTAAAAATTCCAACCCTTAGTTGATTAGTTAGATATGCACTCGCAAAATAACCAAAGAAGCTGCCGGAATTGAGGTGGATTTTGTGCCGCCAGTCAGTTGCTGTAACGGTTGTAGCCTTCTTTGGTTGGCAGAGTAATTTCACCACTTGTGCATTATGTTAACATTAACTGATCCATTTATTTAACATAGCACCCCGGCTGTCTTGCGTGTGTAGTTAGCATTACTCACTAACAGATGGCAGTGCTTTAAATGATCAGAATCTAAGCTTTTCGAAAGCTAGCCTAAATATAGTGCCATAAAACAACAAAATAAAAATCCAAAATTAATTTAATTTTATTTTTTGAACAATACCATACACATACAAACATCAGAGACATACATAGTTTCATCTATGTCCATGGATAGGTAACCGAATTGAAAAATAGTCCAAAGGCCGGTGGCCTTATCCTATTGCAACATATGCTTGAAAAAATAAGAAAAAAAACCAAATCAATCTCTCCATTTGGTGAATACAAAAATTAACTTCATTTCAAATGCCTTACCGTCTGCCTAAAAAAAGTAAACAAAAAACATATAATTATATTATAGAGTATAATACATATAACTTAACCTAGAGGATATACCTGCAATTTGTTAATTTAATGTGGCATTCAAACTATTTGTAGAGAAATGCCTCCATACAGGATTATAAGGAAAATAATACAAATTCTTGTACCGAAGACTTTTCTTGAGACAAATAACTTTGAGTCCACATTTTCCTTGACAGACCACACATACATACATGTGTATGAGGGTAGTATGCTTGTATATCACATAATACAAACACACAAAACAACTTATCGAATTTTTCGATCCTTATTCTCACCTAATCACAGTTATGCCTTCAATTTCAAAAAATTACCGAAATTACAATACGATTATAAAGAGATGCAACAAAAATCTTCAACACAATCGTGCCTTTTTTAAACAAAACAAAATCGTTACTTGAACCCGTCCCACAAAATTTAAATAAAATCAAACCAATGAAAAACAAACAAAAAAAATCAAAACATTTTATACTCGTTATTATCTCGAACACATAAATATTCATTTTTTTTGTTTTGTTTTCTGTGATCGAATATACAAATATAAATGACACATATCCACAGAATTTATGTGAAATTATTGGTATAACATCTATATCTCAATTGAAAATATAAATTTCGGGCCTTTAGTAATTCCCTGTCATTAATATTTCTATATTGAAAAATAAAAATGTATTTTTATATTAATTTGATGCAATTTCAGAATTAATTAGTTTCATTCGCTTCTAAATAAGCAGTTGAGCTATTACTAAGTTCGAAATCGAAAATATTTTCGAATTTTAGTTTTAAACAAACATATATTTAGGGCCTGTTTCTGTAGCACGAAATGAAAGTGAGTGCCGCAGAAAAACACCATTTCAAATGAGTTCTTTAAATTTTGAATTTTTTGAGTTAAACTAAAAATTTGGAAGCCTATTTTGAGTGGTGCATTTCTTTTGCATTCACTTTTGTATCGCCACACAAAATCAGGCCCTTACATTTTGTTAATTTTTCAAAATTTTCATTTTAGCTTTCCAGTCGTTTTGAAACAACGTATTCTTGATTCCAATAAAATTTAAAAAAAAAAATGTAAATTCACAAAAAAATAAGATTGGGCGCCGTAGAATATTAAAAAGTAAAAACCGCGCTTTAACTCCACCACTTTAAAATTGCTAAATTTGGGGCTTGGGTCATATGAACAAATTAGGACCATCTTAATAAAAATACTTCATTATATGTGTGCGACTTTAAAATTTTTATTCAAACTGAGCATTTTTTAATAAAATAAAATTTAAATTCTGCAAAAACTGCGATAGAA